CGGCACTTTCTCATTGATAGTGAGTTTTTGTTGCAGGTAATTCGACATGAGTATCTCAAGGTTCGCTTACCCGCTCCTCGGCAATGCCAATGGCATGATCAAGGTCAGCTGTTTCTCACAGCAATTACAGGGAGCCTGCTTTATCTTCCAAGTTTCAGATCGCTCGAATGCAGAGTACGATCGCGCACACCATAAAAGTGGCCGATCAGATTGAAAAAACCCGTGCCAAGGCACTTGTTGCTGGTGGACCAAAGAGAATTGACAGTCAGCATAAAAGAGTACGTTGACGTTCCGAAACCTTTAGTTTCTAGGATTAACAAACATTTTCTTAGGGAAAATTGACAGCACGTGAGCGTATCGAATTACTCATGGATAAGGGCTCATTCCGCGAATACGACATGTTTGCCGAACATACTTGTGTCGATTTTGACATGCAGAAGCAGAAGGTATATTTTAACTAATGTTTATGGACTCTGGCTAAAGCTTCTTTTGTCACTGAAACTTTGGGGATTTCGGAACCGCGCCATAGGGAGGAGCCAAGTGATAAACTCAAACATCATGCTGAATGTCATTATATTATTTATAAAGATGCAACTGTTGAAATCTCTAGAATTAAGAAATCATTAGGTCCTGCAGGGTCGGAATAATGATAGCGACTGCAGTGGGAAGTTATATCATAGTTTATCAGTCGTAACAAAGGTAACAAGGGTAGTCAAATTAGTTGCATGGAATTGGCGTAACCGAGAGTTTGATTTCGTATTCATAAATTATAGACTCAGAATGAGAGAAGCCTTGGCAGTTGACCCAATCAAGTCTGAAAACTGGTCTTACTTCGTAGCTTGATTTTTCCTCATTATATGCTTCGTTTACAAACCTTTGGGAAATTATTTATTTCAGTACCCTGGAGATTCTGTCATTACCGGACGTGGTCATATCAACGGTCGTAACGTGTATGTGTTCTCGCAGGATTTCACTGTTTTCGGTGGTTCATTGTCAGGGATCCATGCCAAAAAAATTTGCAAGATCATGAGGGTATGGTATGAGCGCTTTTGCTGTTATTAGGTTTGTAAGCTAGAATTTCTAGGAAGCTATGATTGTGGGAGCCCCCTTGATCGGTCTCAACGACTCTGGTGGTGCTCGAATCCAAGAGGGAGTTGACTCCCTCGCTGGTTACGCTGACATTTTCTTGGTGAATTTTTGGTCAAGGTATTATTCGAACAATAACGTGGACATTTCTAGAACAACACCATGGCATCCGGCGTGATTCCACAGCTTTCACTTATCATGGGACCTTGTGCAGGAGGTGCTGTGTACTCCCCTGCTATCACTGACTTCACTTTTATGGTATGAATCAAGAAAATGTTTTCAAGCGTTATATTCAAATATTTCTTTCAGGTCCGTGATACGAGTTATTTGTTCATCACTGGACCTGACGTTGTGAAAGCCGTCACAAAAGAAGAAGTTACTCAGGAAGAACTTGGAGGAGCAAAGACCCATACTGCTACATCCGGTGAGTATTATTTCGAAATATATCCAGAATGAGACGGCAAAGTGAGAGGTTGTTTAATCAGGTGTCGCTGTTGGTGCCTTTGAGAACGATGTGGATGCCCTGATGAGTATGCGTGAATTGGTGAACTATCTGCCACTTTCGAACAAAGACCCTGCTCCAGTTCGCGCTTGTGATGACCCATGGTAAATTTTGCAGGCTATACAACTCTAGTCAAGTTGATTTCACAAATTAGGGATCGCGATGTCCCCTCACTGGACACTGTTGTTCCTTTGGAAAGCACCGCAGCATATAATATGAAGGATGTAGTTACTGCTTTAGTGGACGAAGGAGATTTCTTTGAGATCATGCCGGACTATGCTAAAGTTAGTTGAGAAGGCTATATGTTTCCAGGGTTTACGATATCTTACTCGTTCTTTCAGAACATTATTGTCGGTTTTGCTCGAATGAATGGTCGCACCGTTGGAATCGTTGGAAATAACCCTAAGTTTGCAGCAGGTTCGTTTGTCATATTAGAAAATCAAAGAAGTGGAATAGTTTTTGTTTCTAGGATGTCTTGACATCAATTCATCTGTAAAGGGGGCCCGCTTCGTCCGTTTCTGCGATGCCTTCAACATTCCGCTTGTCACCCTTGTCGATGTTCCTGGATTCTTGCCCGGTATCGAACATCAGTCAATATTGTGACCCAAAGAATTCTATGTTTGACTTGTTTAGGAACTGCGCAGGAATATGGAGGTATCATTCGTCACGGAGCCAAGCTTATCTATGCCTACGCTGAGGCAACTGTGCCTAAGATTACCGTAATTACTAGAAAGGCAGGTTTTTAAGATACTTTGTTATTCTAAAACTGCCTATCACGCTTACCTTCTAGGCCTTTGGTGGAGCATACTGTGTTATGTCATCGAAGCATCTTCGGGGAGATGTCAACTACGCGTGGCCCACGGCAGAGGTTGCTGTCATGGGAGCAAAGGTATGATTGGGATTGAGTGAAATGGAAAGGCTGTAAGATCTATCTGCTCATATAGGGTGCCGTATCCATTCTATTCCGTGGAGAAAAGGACGTAGCCAAGCATGAGGAAGAATACATTGACCTTTTCAGCAATCCGTTCCCTGCTGCTGTTCGTGGTGAGTGGAATGCTTTGAAGAAAACTTTAACTCACCTCTCCCACTCTTCTTGATTTTCTGCTTTTTTAGGTTTTGTTGATGACATCATTGAGCCACACACGACCCGTCGTAGAATTTGCGAGGACCTCAGTCTGCTTGAATCGAAGAAACTGACGAACCCATGGAGAAAACACGGCAACATCCCTCTCTAATCGCAAATAGTGTCTTGTTACCGTGCCTTGCGTGTGTGGTCTTAGTATGTCGTTCAAGTGCCTCACACAAGTGGTCTTAGTGTCTTTTAATTCATCTCGGTGTCTTCTCTGTCTGCCTTCTTTCTCCGTTTTCTTGCGGTCTTCCTGAACTTTTCGCCGCTGAGCTTGCAGATACAGGCTTATGCAATATCATAGGTACTAGACATGAGCTTGAGGATTATTACAAGCTTGCTGTGGTTTGCGATGGTAATGCAGTTGTGCCAGTCTAGTCTCATCTATCTTTGTCATCTTTCTCACAAACCTTGGCACGGTATTTCAACGGAAAAGTTCAAACTAGTATTTAGATCTAGCTTTCAACAATTAGTGCTTATGTCCCTCACTGTTCTGTGTCATACTACTCTGTTTACCTTTCAATCGTTCCTGTCAAGCCTTCACATTTCTAGCATTTGACACTTCTTAGAACCTCAGCTCAGCTTTGCATTTGTGTCCTTTGACCCGTCATATAGTATTATTCGCCTAAGCACTGTAGGAGCACTGTTCTTGTCTCGAATATGTGATGGTTGACTGCATCCCTACCGGTGTCACGCAATTTTGGTTGATAAAAGTTATATTAATTGTTTTATTACTAATGTAAAACTAAAATTCTCTACAATACACCGAAGAACCTCGCAACTGTTGTGAGTATTGCTCTTTGTACTGGAGGAATGACGTTTTCAACATCTTCTACGGAAGGAATGTCGATTTTTGGGATCTGGTCCAGTGTAGGGAATGTAAGAGGTGGAATGGTCGGCAATGGCGTAGTAGAGATTGGTTGAGCAACTGAAATAGAGATATCTTCCTAAATTGTAGCTCGCTTGGATAAGTTAAGAAAGTCACCTTGCCGAGGTTGATGTTGAAATGGTTGAGGTAGAGACTGTGCTGGCTGTTGCATGAAGCCATTCATCTGTTGAGGTGATAGAGCCAGTGGGTTTGGAGCTGGGTTGAAAAGACCGAAGAGTTGAGGTTGTGCTGTCTGGAGTCAAGAATTGGTCGTGTTGCGCACATTATTCAGCAAAAAAAATGTTATTCAGTAAACCTGAGCTTGTGCTGGAGTCTGATTGTACTGGAGATAGGGTGAGGCAGCATATGGTTGCATAACTGGAGTTTGAGGATTTTGTACTGGTGCATATTGTTGAGCTTGAGCTACTGATTGTTGAGCAACAGGCATGGAGTTCAATGGTTGATTGTAGCCGGGAGGAGCTGGAAATACAGAGCTAGATACTATTTTAACAGTTTAGAAAGAATGGCTAATCCTACAGAAGTCACCGTACCTGGTGGTGAGATATATCGTGGGGCTGGTGCTGCTGCTATGCCATAACCTTGTTGAAGTTGTCTACCATATGGTGTTGAAACCTAAATGCTTCAAATAAGATCGGTGAGATTGTTATTTCATGCTATATTCCAAATAAAAATATTCGCAAGAGTTATAGTCAGGTCAGTTTCTGTGGATGAAAAAGGTTTAAAGATAGACAACTTGCAAAGAAAGATTGTTTTTGGTTTCTTGTGTATAACATTGATTTTAATGACCGCAGGAAATTGTAGCAACAAAGCAGAACTTTCCGAAGAATAATCCTCTTTTTCTATTCTATAAATCAAGAATTTCTGTCTTGGGAAACCTCCCATCCACATGAAAGGGCATCCCGCAATATACATAGTAGTGACTGAAATTGAGTTTAGACTTTTCATAAGTTAAGGTTATTTTGCAATGGATTTTATTAAGAGCTTCAGGTAGCTGTTACCGCATTTAAGATAATAAGTCTTTGAAGTAAAACCTTTATTTGATCTAATTTGCTTAACCTCACTATCACAGGAAATTAATATTCCTACAGATGCGCTATCACATTTTATGGAAAAATCGGGTTTTGGATATATGGTGTCTATCTCACCTTCAAAGGGGGCGCGGCGTAGACGACATCTCTCACTGGTGGTTGAGCAAGTCGATTGGCTTCAATGTTCCTCTA